GTAGTAGTAGTAGTAGTAGTAGTAGTAGTAGTAGTAGTAGTAGTAGTAGTAGTATTAGTAGTATTAGTAGTAGTAGTAGTATTAGTAGTAGTAGTAGTAACAATAATAGTAGTAGTAGAAGTAGTAGTAGTAGTTGTAGTAGTAGTAGTAGTATATTTTGGCTTCTCTAAATTTATGGCTCTATATAAATGTTCAGAATATTATTCTTATTACTTTTATAATTGTTATTCTTCATTTTATTATTATTGTTATTATAAATTTTCATATAATACTTCAAACTATTGAAGAAGAGCTTATAAATCATTTAAATCTTGACAAGGCCGTAAGATAAAATACAGTGCAGCACAATTACATTCGAGACGTTATTTATGACCTTCTGTCAATAGATCCATTATAAAAAGATTCACATACATATCGAAACTAGAAATACACACACCACACACACACGCACACACGCACACACGCACAAGCAAACAAACAAACATACATGCATACATACATCAGAAAAAATATACACACGTTAATATGGAATAATGCACACATTCATTCAAACATAAAAAAAACACATTTGTATACAAAATCACATATGTACACACACGCATACAAATACACACACGCATACAAGTTCACACACACATACACGCACACACACACACACACACACACACGCAGGTGTTATTACATGAGACTTTGCACGTCACAGTACAACAAAAGGGGCATTTGAACGATAAACGCTTCGATACGCTAGACTACATTTACTCGTTTTTCTGTGCGAACATTCGTTCATTCTTTCCGTTTTTTCTCAATGTTATTTTCATTCTTTCATTGTTTTTTCACATTTTCTCTCATTCAACTCTCTCTATTTTTTTCTTTTACTTTCTTTCTAAAATTTTCTTTCTTCCTCTCTTTCTCTCTCTCTCTCTTACTTAAGTTCCTGTCTCTCTCTTTTCCTCTGTTTCTCTTTTTTTTTCTTTTTTTCTATTTCTATTTCCCTCTCTCTTTCTTTCATTTTTTCTTTACATCTCTGTCTTTCTCTCTGTCTTTCTCCCTCTCCCCCTCTCTCTCTTTCTCTCTCTCTCTCTCTCTCTCTTCTTTTTTTAAATTGTTGCTGTGTTAACAGTAAACTACGTAAACACCCATCAAATTAGTTGACGACATACATGCTTGAACCAGATCGAGCTCAACAAACAAACTGATCTTCAAACAAACCTCCGCTTAGTCTTACTGAGATTGATCTAACGTTGAATTCAATGTTTATTTATTTGATGTTATTTGATGATTTATTTGATAAAATTTCTAGTTTAAAATGAAAGAATTACTGACAATTTTTAAGATTTTTTATTTTTATTTTGTAAAAACATACAAGAAAAAGAGCGTATAGATGTGTTAGAGTTTGGTAAAACCAAACGAAAAGAATGAATTTAACATTTTTAAATAACTGACGAAGTGCTAAATGTATTGTAAGTATTGAAAAAGACTTAAAATACTGTTGACACAAAGAGAAAAATGTATTTATTCAAATGAAATATACTCTAAAATGTATCTGCATTTGTTTTGGTTGTTGGCTGTATGTATGTCGGTGTGTTTGTGTGTGTATGTGTTTGTGTATGTATGTGTGTGTGTGGGTGTGTGTTGATAAATGTGTGTGTGTATGTGTGTGGTGTGTGTGTATAACAGACAGCCAACAGACAGCCAACAACAGCCCAACAACAACAGCAACAGTACTAACATATCCTGCATAGATAGAATGGACTTCCACTCGTAGCGACCACTCGGAGATATCTTATCCATCTGCAGCCAGGCGCTCAGCACTAGGGTGGCGAATGTGGTCATTATCTTAACGAGGCTGGTGCACAGTTGAATTTTCGTCCTTGACCTTTTGATGTCGCTGGCCAGGTTGGAAAGGAAGTGGACGTTGGCGAACGGGGCTCGGTCGTCTCCACTGTAGTTCTCCCACCATCTGGACGAAGTGTTGTGTGTGGGTGTGCGTGAGTTTGAACACGTCCGTGGGCTGAATCTATGTATTTGCTTCTGGATTTATGTTATTATTTGTTGCTGTTGACAAACTTTTTGTGTGTTTCGTTGTTTTTATGCAATTTTTGGCTAGCGAGGTAGCTCAGTTGATAGAAGTTTCATGTCTAGATCCATTTTTAATGCGCGCCAACCGTGTTCAAATGCTGTCTCGCCAATTTTTACACACAATCATACGCCTGATGCAAATGTGGAGTGCAGACCTTTGCCACCGTCGTGTGGTGAGAAGATCAGTTTTTTTAATAAAATTACTCAAACCTCGATTGTAATTAACTACAAGATATAAATTTTAATCAGTTCTGCATTTGTTAAAATTGCCTAGTTAAGTTGAGAATCGAATGAAAATAACCGTACAAGCTGAATCAGCTCAATCGATTAGTCAAACAAGCTAATTAATATCAAACTAATCGATCGAAAATTCCACCAATCTACCCATCAACCAATCAATCAAAGACCCCACCCCTCACTTCAAAGAAAGGCAGAAGAGGCATGGGACAACAGAGCAATACA